CCCCCCCAGCCCTGTACCCCCCAGCCCTCCTATGGCCCCACAGCCCCCCCCCTTGTTGAGGGACCCCACCTCACCTGCTGGCTCCAGCACCCAGGGGGGCCTGTGCTCCACACCCCCCCAGCCAGGGTCACCCCACAGGTGGGGCTGGCAGGGGACAGGGACCCCGGAGGGACAGGAACCTCAGGGCAATGGAGACCCCGGGGGGATCCCAAGAAACGAGGCAGCTCCAGCGTAGTACAAAACACCTTTATTGAGGCAGGGGGCAGCAGGGGGCAGCAGGGCAGCACCCATGGGTGTCGGGGCAGCGCCCAGGGGTGGGGGGGGGCAGCACCCATGGGCATGGAAGCAGTGCCCAGGGGTGGGGGGCAGGACCCATGGGGAGGGCAGCACCCAGGGGCATCAGGGCAGCACCCATGGGTGCTGCTCTCACTTCCTGCCCTTCTGCTTCATGTGCAGCACGAAGTAGTCATTGCAGGCGATGGTGAGGCCGGCCACCAGCGAGAAGAAGCCCTGGAAGCCCACCTTGCCGTCCCGGCACTGGTCCAGGTCCTTCATGATCTTGTCCAGGGCCATCGGGTCCCGCTGGTTCTGGGGGGGGGGGGGGCCAGGAGTAGGGGAAGGGCCCCCCACCCTCAGCATGGGGCTGAGCCCACCCAACAGGCTCCCCCGAGCCCCTGCGCAGTGGGGTCTGTTCCTGGCGGGGGGTTGTGGGGGTCCCATCCTGGCAGGGTGCTATAGGGTCTGATCCCAGGGTGCTATGGGTACCCCCCCCCGGGGCCCGATCCTGCCCCCCCACCTCCAAGAAGCCGGGGAACTCCTTCTCCATCAGCATCCGCAGGTCCTCCTTGCTGAGGTGGTTCTTGTCCCCTGCGTACTTGTGGAAGGTGAACATGAGGGTCTCCATGGCGTGCTCCATCTGGGATGGCATGGTGGGGGGCTGCGGGACTGGGGGGAGGAGGAGGGCACACTCAGCCATGTGCCCACCCCACCACCCCCCCCACGCCCTGCTGGCAGGCTGCAGGCTGAGGCTGGCGCCGCTCATCACACGTGTAAGCAGTTTTCCAGCCGCTGGGAATGACTCAGCTCGGGCTGCAGCCGCGGGGTGTGGCCGGGGAGGGGGGCACACACATACATGTCCTGTGGGTGTGATCCGTGTCCGTCCGTCCCCCCCCCAGGCTACGGGGCACCCTGGGGAACCCCAACCAGTCATGGGGGGGGTATTGCGCAAAGCCCCCGGTCTCCTCCCTGGGTGGGGTGCACCCTGCCTCAGTTTCCCCATCTCTGAGGGGTCACGGGGGGGGGGGCCACCCCCCCCCCCCCCCCCCGCAAGGGATGACACCAGCACCCCACCCATCATTTTGGGAAGGGATGCCCGGGCCTGGCAGAGATGTGGGGTGATGGCAGCACGTGGACACGCCTGCCCCATGGGTCTGCTGCCCCCCACCCTGTCCACCCAACGCCATGATTCTCCCCCCACCCCCCAACCTCCGTGTGCCCCCCCCCGGGTGGGGACGGGGTTGGGGGCACCGGTGCCACACCCCAGCGCGGGCGCCTGCCACTGAAACAGGAACTGGCCCAGCCCGCGGCTTTGCCTTCAAAAACTTGGGGGGGCCCCCGAGGAGGGGGGGGCTGGTCCACCCCTACTCAGCACCAGGGCCCCCCCGGTCAGCC